TGCCGGCAGTTTGGTTTCCATCAGAGAGAGTGCATTCCCTATCATTACCTTTGTTCGACAAAGGGGTTGATCCTGTCACTATGATCACCCACTCAGATGAATTCTCAGACTGTCCCAACATGCCCAGGTTTTGGCCCCCGCTAAGGATCTCACTGATTGGCATATCAAAGACGGCCTGATTCGACACCCAGTGAAATATCATAATCGAGTCTAGGGGTCAGGTGTAACTTTCCAGTTTTTCCCATCTGTCTCCAAGGTCCAGGGCAATACTGGAAATCTGGTCTGGTTCAAGGATTCGAGCAATCCCACACTGCATGTGCCTTGGGTCTTACCCTGGTGGCCGAGATAGGCCATCCCAACACTTAGTGGCATACCAGTATCAGCCTTGGCTGGATAAATCTCCCCAGACTTATCCAATGGCTGTGAACATTTAAAACTAATACGAGTCTCAATAAATGTCCAGTTTTAGGGTCTTACACAGAATCAAATCAAACAACATGAATCAAACATGCACTTTATTTATTTACACTAAATATCAAAAGTACATCAAATCAGATTGAAGCTAAGGGCATACAAAACTGTCTAATAGAACCAACCAAATAACCTCCTCAAAAGCTTTAGCCCTAGAAGCTATACAATGGACCAACCTATTAAAAACATAGAAGAACAAAACAGAAAGAAGCACAGTCTAATCAATCACAAATCGAAGAAATCATCAACCAAAAAGTTACAACCACAAGTAAAGCCTCTATCAACAACCATAAGTGAATCTAAAACTACCACGAGTAAAGCCTTCTTAATAGCCACCGATTCAGCCTCCACCGCAGCTTACCCGATCACACCTCCCTCCTGTAGCAAAAAGAAACCCATCATTTGAATGGTTGAAAGTGTTAAAAGTAGGGGTGAGCAAAAAAAAAAAACCAAAAAAATGAACCGATCGAAACCAAACTGAAAAATCGGTTAATCGAACCGATTGGTTCGGTTTCGGTTAACCTTGTACAAAAACTGGCGGTTAATCGAACCGACCGGTAATCGACCGATGTATATATAATGTATATATTATATATTATATTTATATTTATATTTTTAAAATTGAATAACCTTATTGCTGCGCGTCTGTCACTTTATCCACCTACTGTCTGGCGTGCCAGGTTAGCCTAGCGCCTTTTTCAATTTTCAAACAAATCCAAGAAAAAGTAAAAGCTTAACCATAGTACCTTACCTCTCCATGCATATTTGTTATTTTTAAAATCTAAATATCCAATAAACAAACACGCGTCTGCCTAGTGCCTTTTCACTTTTTCCTCTTTTCAAGTTTTCCCTCTTGGAAACCTAAACCGTAATAGGCAGTAGGCTTTCTCTCTCTTAGTCTCTCTTGTGATTCTTCACTTTTTCCTCCTTGACTTTCTTCATCTTCTAGTTTTTCCTCTAACACGTCCTCCGACCGATGGCCTCTCAAGTCTCACATAATGGCCAATTCTCCTCTTGCTTCGGTGTTTACTTGTGCCCCTTTCTCTCTCTGTCGCCTATCATCTCCGTCTCCGTTGCACCAACCATCAAGGCGTCGGTCGCCGCCTCAACTTCGGTTTTTTTGCTCACCCCTACAACAACCAACCAAGAAGTCGGTCACCGCCTCAACTCCACCAGGACCGCCACCTCCCAGGCTCTATCGTTGTTTATCTCATCTCATCTCTATGGCTCCGCCACCTCTTAGGATAAGTAATTTTTTCCTTTTTTTTCTTAATTTTGAGTGCAAAAAAAATGAAAAACCGAATCGCGGTTAACCGGTCCACCGGTTAATTGATGGATCGATTAACCGATTACGTTGGTTCGGTTTCGGTTTAGATTTTTAAAAAACTGGTCAAGTCGGTTTGGTTCAAAAAAACCCACGGTTCGGTTCTAGTTAAAAGATAGCATTAAGACTCAAATTTGGAAGGAGTACAAATACAAATATGTACAATACAAATACATACAAAATAATACAAAATACAAGGTTTTGCACTCTACATATTTGAATTCGTACTCCTTCCAAACTAAGCCTAAAGAACATTATTTTGAGTGTATTTAGGTGGTAGGGTAGTTTAGCAATTCCATCTTGAATTAAGGACACTCCAATCCACTGTTTTTCATAAATGAGGGTATATATGTAATTCTGTATTTTTTTTAGCGATAATATAAAGTTGGGTCAATTGCTTACAGAGGATTAATACATTCTAATATCTCTAATCAAATCAGTTGTTTCTCTCCATTCTCCTATCTCTTCTTTCTCTCTTTTCCTCTCTTCTATTCTCTTCTCTTTTCTTTCTCTCCTTTCTATTTCAAATTAGATTGTTCTATGCATCTATAATACCACATTTTCACATGATTAGGTTTTTCGTTCACTATTGAATTGATTAGGGTTCCTTCTAGATGGCTATAACTGCTTGCTATAGGGGATCGAACTAGTTTCAGCAGGGTTTCTAGGTGATTAGTGATGGTTCTAACCATCACAAGTATTGTGATAAGTGATCATTAATATTATTTGTGACCTTCTAGTGGACCAAAACCAAGAAGGGAAGTGATAGATGGTTTTGATTAGTACTGTGAAGTGAAAAATTTTCTTGTGATTTTGTGATGAGATTGATTTTGTGA